AAAAAAAAAAATTGTACGTCATTTCTTTTCCTCTTTGACCTCCTGTTTCTATTGCCATTAGGGTTTTATCTTGATATGATGTATTTTTTTTTAATACACATACCCAAATAAAATATGCATATAAATTTTGAATTGAAATAAAAATGTTTTTTCTGTGAAATCTTTAAATGTCAATTTTTTTCTGAATGTTTATTAAAAGGAATTATTGATTAAAACAATGTGTGGATTTTGATAAAAAAATCATTAAACATAAAAACTGAACTTATTGGAAATTCATTTCTTAGGGAGATGAATTGGGCAATTTTAAATTTAGATTTCATGTATCCTACATGAATATTATCTGTTGGTAAAATGAGACAGGTTTTAGCAATAGTCCTGGTTTTTCATTTTCTTAGGATATAACTGCATCTTGTTTGTGTAATTAAGTAGATAGGAGAAATATTACATTATTATCACTTAAATCTTTGAATTTCTTCTGAATTAGATACCTAAAACACATATAAAGATGTACCATAATTATTTTTTAATGATAGCTTTGGAAACAACTTGATTCAAAATCTTCAGTTTTGTTAAAAGCAAAAAAAAAAAAAAAAGGGGGGGGGAACATCTAATTTTTCAAAAGGTTCTAGTTGTTATAGTCACTTACTCTCTTGTTACCAACTGGAACATTTCTAATAATTTGTCTTTGGTCCCTAGAAAATTTTTATTCTTAAGAAAAATACTGTAATGAAATCCTAGAGAGTGAGAAATATTCTTTGTTTACAAAGTGAGAGGAGTAAGATTGTAAAAGGAAAAAAGATTGGTTTAATCTTTTCAGCTGGATCAGGTTTTTTTTTTTTTTTAAAAAGAATACAGATGCAAGTTAGTGATAAGATTGATTTTCTGACACTCCATGCTTTAATTAAAAAGTCTTTGAGTTCCCTCGTTTGAGATTACAGTTCTAATATATTTAGTTGCAACTCTTTTTAAGTGTGGCTTATTGAAAGTATAAACTTGTATTGATTATTTTCTTTTTTTTTTTTATTTAGATATCTAACAGTGATACGCCTTCACCACCACCTGGTTTATCAAAATCCAATTCAGTCATCCCCATCAGTTCATCCAATCACAGTGCACGGTCCCCATTTGAAGGGGCAGTAACAGAGTCACAGTCATTATTCTCAGACAATTTTCGCCATCCCAACCCTATCCCAAGTGGGCTTCCTCCTTTTCCCAGCTCCCCACAGACATCTAGTGACTGGCCTACAGCACCAGAGCCACAGAGTCTCTTCACATCAGGTATATAACTAAAGTACCTGGACTTGTAACATAAAACCCATTTAGTAAGACATATTCTTAGCCTTTTTCTCTTGTACTTTCCTTTGATAAAAGTGTAAACATTTAAACTGCGTAGGATTAGATGATAAGATAAATTGTTGTATATAACCCACAAGTTTTTGTGTTAAAAGACATTTCTGCAGAAATCAAGGGGTATGTAATTTTTCCAATAAAAAAAGCTTATTTCTCTTGGAATTAGGATTTTTTAAATTAGGTTTGTGCTTTTGTAGTTAAATTTAAGATTCTCCCCTCCCCAACTGATAGTTATTTAGTTGTAAAAATTGTTTTGGCATTTTTTAAATCTATTTTCATTTTTATTTACTATAAATTCTCTTATTGATGCCATAAGTTAGCATTCAAATCAGCACCTATGAAGCAGACAAAAAACCTATAATATTTTTCATTAAAGTGCATTTTTTTTCTTGGAAGTATATAAGACATTTAAAAAATATTTATACTTTGTATTTGATAAATACATTTTAACAAATAAGTTTTACTAATTAAAATCTGTTGTATTTATTACTTTGTTTCATTAAATGATTTATGCTGGTTTTGATTATGAATTGTTGAGTGTAATTTGGATATCAAGTAGTTTGTAACTAATTATTTTACCAAGCTAAAAAGTCATTGATTTTGCACATATTTGCTTTTATCTTACAATACGACATGTTTTTCATAGTTGTGGTTGCTTATTAATTGTGAAAGGGACCAGATGCATATTATATTCATCACTATTTTTCTTCCTAACAGAAACAATCCCAGTATCATCCTCCACAGACTGGCAAGCAGCATTTGGCTTTGGTTCTTCTAAACAACCAGAGGATGACTTGGGGTTTGATCCCTTTGACGTTACTCGAAAAGCCTTAGCAGACCTGATTGAGAAGGAATTGTCCGTCCAAGACCAGCCTTCCCTTTCACCCACATCTCTTCAGAACTCCTCTTCACACACTACAACCGCCAAAGGTCCAGGCTCTGGATTCCTACACCCTGCTGCACCGACAAATGCCAACTCTCTTAATAGTACCTTTTCAGTCTTGCCACAAAGATTCCCTCAATTTCAGCAGCACCGAGCAGTTTATAATTCCTTCAGTTTTCCAGGCCAGGCAGCCCGCTATCCTTGGATGGCCTTTCCACGCAATAGCATCATGCACTTGAACCACACAGCAAACCCCACCTCAAATAGTAATTTCTTGGACTTGAATCTCCCGCCACAGCACAACACAGGTCTGGGAGGGATCCCTATAGCAGGTAGGTTCATTTAAAGCCTTTGAAAATTCTTGAATAACTCATGCCTTTACTTTGTTGGGTGGGTAGGGAAGGAACTATTGAATAATAGAGGGTACTTATTGGTCATGAAAATTTCTGTAAAAAAAAGTTAGTCTTTATCATAATCTAAAATATTTTTAATTAGACAGATGCCTTGTAATATTGAGCTTTATAAGGATGGTGGAGTATTATACCAAGTCATTGTTTGGAAGCATTTTACTTAATAGGATAATTATCAAACTTTCATATGCTATATCAATGCAAAAAGAAAAGGAAAACAAATGAACTCTGAAATTATGATGCTGTGAAGTTTAACACCATAGTAAAAAAAAATCTTATTTTATGTTATAAAAGTAAAGTGGTTAAAACCCTTTTTAAAATGATAGTCAATGAGAGCATGAGGGATAAAGCCACTCTAACTGGTAGGGCATTTACTTATTTTGACAGATACACACATACACATATCAAAACTGCGCTATAAATAAAGTATGAGAATATTTGAGAGCTCTGATTATTAATGTTTTGTAACATGTCACAGACATACTTTATATGGAAAAGAAATTGTTCAAGGAGAGAAATTACCCTTTTAGTTTGTCTTGTTTTTATTTCTGGGGGAAAATATTAGGTATATATTTAAGAATACAAGTTTGATACCAGAATACTTCTGGTCTTGTACTGCTACCCTTGAAGGTTTCAGAACTTTTGGGTCTAAGATCCTGTAACATTTTTTAGATGTAGTGTTTTCTGAGGAAGTCATTCTTAATAGTGTTCTCATTTAATTTGGCTTTTGAGATAATGTGTAAAAGAGAGTTTCTTCCTTTCCTTATTCTTTCAAGTAGAATAGAATAATCCTATACTGTGATATATATAATTTATATAATTTATTTTTATCTTGTCATAACCTTTAAGGTGTGGCATGACACAGGTGTTATTATATTAGAATACTTTGACAGTAAGGTATTCGTTCTCTTGTTGTTAGCAAGATAGATAAATGAATATACAGAGGTCCATCTAAATTCTTTGTCTGTATTCCCTTGGAACGTACAACATTTCATGATCTAGACAGAAAGCTAGATCTTAGTTTGTGACTGTGGATAAGTAAAGTGAATTTACATAATTTTAAGAGCACCTGATATAGTGATTTACACATTGATGAGACTTGTGGTATTTGCTCTTTTAATTATGGTAGATAGTAGGTAATCCAGAGTGACATTTTTCAGTCCTCTCCTTCTATGTGATATTCCTTTATGAAACAAGTGTTCAATTTCTGTGCACCTTTTCTTTTCTTCCATTCAAGATAGCACATTAGAATACAATTATGTTTTGTTTTGCTTTGTTTTAATCATTTAGAAAGGTGGCGTTTTAATTATTAGTAGTGAATCTTATAATTGATTATAATATTAGAAATTAAAGTCCCCCTAAATATTTAAAAATAAAGTATTAACCTAATTATAATTAATATTTCAGTTCCTGTTTGATCAAACAATGAGCCAGGCCATGTGGGGATACAAAAGAAGTATAAAATACAAACACTATTTCCAAGTAGTTTTAGAGTGTACTTGAAGAGATAAAGTTATGTATGAAAATGGTAACATTGTATGGTGCTGGAATCTGAGAGACATCAATGTACCCTGTAATTGTTGGGGAGATTTAATTGAAGAAATAGGAATTGATTTGTACTACACTATCTTGGATTTGGGTTAGTGGCAGGGGAAGAGAAAGGGCCTTTTATGTTGATGGAAACCCCTTTAGTAAAGGCACAAAGGGCAGGCATTAGTGTGTCATTACATTAAAATGCATTAAAACTGCCTTCCATAATAGGAAGTGCTTCTTAAGCCATAGTAATACAATGGTTGAGAAGATGAGGCTCTCTGGAGAGCGAGGCACAATAGTGTGGGCTTGATATGGGATTCTAGTCTTAGCTGCCTTCATTATATATTTTTATTTGACTTTCTACATGTCCATCTTCAATAAATTATGTGTTCTTCCAATTTCTTAGTTTTCAAATTGTCCATTAACACCAAAGAGCAATTTTAATCCAAGTATTTTAAGTAAGCAGATACTTTGGAGTGCCACACTGGTAATAAGTCATCACTGATCAGTGAATGTAGTTTTCCTATGTTAGTTATTAGAAATCTTTATCTGCAGTAGATACTTTATTTTTAAAATGTGGCATTAAATGATAGTTCTGTTTTTTTTTTTTCTTTTACTCTATACTCAACCATAGGACACTAAAAACTTATTTTTCAGAGTTGCTAAAAATAAAGCACCAACTTAAGGTTTTGAATCATTGTTGTATTTGGTGGGGGGAAATTCGTTATTTCAGGTTTTCAAGTTTGGGCTCTGCATACTTGCTTGGTATTTAAATAGTGACTGTGGTTAAGCTGTTAGATTATTTTTAAGGCTCTGATAACTAGAGAAATTTTAAGTTTAATATACCAGAATATTTAAAATTGTTTGGCAAGAGTCACACAGCATCCTCTCATGGTTTATAAACACTTGACAGATACCTCAGGAAACTGAATGTGCTAAGCCTAAAAGCAGAATAACTGAATCATTGCAGCTAGATGATTTAGGATTTTCAGTAACTATGACAGAGTAAAATGACAGAGTAAAAAATCTGAAAACCTATATACCTCTTCAATGTGTCTAATTTGAAGCAGTTTATACCTAGGTAATATCTGTCTCCCCATCTGCAGCTGGAACTCAGTTGTCCTTGAGTTGAACTATTGAAAATGAACTATGGTAGTGATCATCATAGTATCTCATATAGAGTAGTTATTCATTAAATGCTTTAGTAATGAAGACTCCATACTGTTTCAGTGGGGCTTGCTACTTTAAGATAAAGAATATTCTAAACTAATTCAACACTGGGAACAGCATGTATATTTTATTTCTTAGGTATGAAGGGCAAAATAGGGTTCCTAACTGTTGGAGCGAATCAGAGTTGGCAGCCACCTGTATATCATTACAGATTTCATGTCTGTGTATTACATATTTGTATTAAATTTTATTTTTGGTTTGTTTCAGTTAATCATTAAAAAGTGATGTATCTGAAACCTATCATGGGAAGAACAGTTACCAGAGGTTTGACAGAAATTCAGCTTCTGTTTCCTTTATCTAATTGAAAACATTTTTGTTTTTAAAGTTATTTCCTTAATTAGGTGAAATCCTTTTAGCAGCATTTTCTTAGCTGCACGTCTGGTTTGCCAAGCTTAGAAAAAAAATTTAAATGAATATTCTTGGGAGGAACTTTGATTAGTGGGCAGTTATAATAAATTCATTTAGATTTTTTTATTGGAACCCTGTGGTTTTGTTGTAAAAAGTGACTTATCTTGTCCAGTTTCTTCATTTTAGGAATGGCAGAGCTGTATTCTAGGAAGCTTAACTACATTGTTAAAGGTCACACATTCAATTAGTAGTAGAGTTAGCATAAGAACCCAGACCTCAAATTCAATAATGCAAATGTTTTTGCACTACAACACTGATGCTCTCCTTCACAATTGAAGATCACTGGCATGTACTTTAACTTGGCTTTCTTCCCATAGTAATTGACTTTTGCTCTCACATACTTGTAAGTCCCTTTTTATCAATAGTATTTATTCATGAGACAAAATGGCCCAGCTCAGAAATATAGCCTATAGTAAACAAATAAAAACAAAATTGAATGAAGTTTATTGACTTGATGAAAATCAGTCTCTAGCTTAGTCCTCGTTAATACCATGATCTTACCTAAGAACTCTAGTCTAAAGTTTTGTTTTACCAGTCTTCTTGCTATGTATTTGGGATTTGTAGGAAGTTTGCCAATTTATTGAAGAACTGAAATAATCTGTTCTATGGATCGATACACTCTTTGTCTACATTTTGTCAGTTAAGCTATCTTTCCAAATGTAATTTTGCAGATTTATTCTAAAGAATTCTCTGCCAAGATGTTTTTATTCTATAATGTTAAAAATTATTTGGAAAACAATAATAGTAAGTCTGAGTCTGTATGTTTTGTTGTTTCAAGATATATTTTAAAAATATTTGAAATTGTTTAGACTTGGGATTTTTTTTCCTGTTTTGTTAATTCTAATTTTACTTATGAGAGCATTTTTCTTTAAATTTTCTTTGTTTCTATATCAACTGCTTTCACAGTGACTTGATTGAATTTTGAGTCATATGTGAAATCATTCACTTTTAGTGAAATAATGATCAGTTATAATTAGGAGAACTGATTTCATTCATATGTAGTTCTCTGACCTAAAAGTAGTCATCTTACTTTCAGTCAATTGGATCAATATATTGTTAGCATTTTAATATTTTTCTGGTACCTCAAAAGTACACATTAAGTTTTCATGTTATATGTTAATTTACTGATTTAATCTTTATAATTTCCATCTTTTCCTAATGTATATAGCTTATGCTTTTAAAAGATGGATTTATAATTTTCTTTTTCAAAAATGAGTTTTTCATTCCTGTGAATCAGTTTTTAATTTTTTCATAAAATATTTCTCATTAGGAGTGTCTCTGTTTATAAGGCGTCCAATTGGCTTGGAAAAGAATGGCTTTCCTGCCCTGTCTTCCTTTCTTTTTTCTTTTGGTAGTATATTTGTAATCTAAATCTACTATATTTGATCTTATCTCTGACAGCATTAAAATTAAGGGTGTGTTTAGAGTGTAACTACTTTCTAAGTACTTGAAAAGTTTATATTCTAGAATTCGTGTCTAGTTTCACACCCGGATTCCAACCATTAAGCATGTATTTTATATATGTATCAGTATTCCAAATATTTGAAATCATTTTTAAAGGGACTGTTAACAAATCTAGTCACCCATAACTAGACCATGACTGACTTTTCCACAGGGGAAGAAGAGGTGAAGGTTTCGACCATGCCACTGTCAGCCTCTTCCCATTCATTACAACAAGGACAGCAGCCTACAAGTCTCCACACTACTGTGGCCTGACAACAGAACTGAGAGGAGAGGATTAGACTCTGGGGTGCTTGCATGGGCAACCGGATTTTTGCATGATTCCTTTCTGATTTTGCATTTAATGTATACACCCAAAAGAGCCAATATAAACGTTCCTCATGCCTACAACTAGCGTGTTACCTCATAGTTGCTAAAGTATTTCTTCATTAGGCCTTTAACATAATTTATTAGCATAATAATTTTGGCATTGTTTCTTATGAGTGATGCTATTTTTAACTCATATGAATAAACTTATAATACTAATTAAGATCCCAGATGAGATTAGCTAGAATTGTTCTTGTTTTGGCTCTATAACTGAAAATATACAAAGGTAATGATAGTTCTTTGTTTTCTGATTTGTGAAAAAAAAATGGTAATATCCTAATTTGAGAATTGAGATGATAATGTCTATTGCATTCTTTGAGTACTTGAGAAGAAAGAATACATATAAAACAAACTTGGTTGGTGTCATTTAATGCACAGAAGGATGTTGTCAGCAATTGTTTTCAGTTACCTAGATTTATATCTTATATTATGCATTACATGTGTAGAAACTGTTTTGTTCTCTCTCATTTGCACATTCGCACTTTATTTTTGAATGGTTGTTAATTATAAAATAGATGGTTAAAAGATAATTATTATGGCCTAAATGCAATATAATCTCTTTCCTAACGCACTGCCTAGTATACCAGGAAATGCCTCAAAAACACAATTTCAACTTCTAATTGATTTATCAGAAACTTGAATGTGGGATGAACATTGTATGTGAGTAGCCGCTAAAGTAGTATAACATTTTTATTGAACAAATAGTAGTTTGGTGGGATATTTGTTTGGAAATTTTATTGTTTAATACCTGAAATGTGGTAATAAGTCTTTGTAAGTATTTGACCTAAATGAGACTTAAAGTAGAAGAGAAAAGTTTGGATGTCCTCTAAAATTAGTCCATGTAAGTTGTAAATGGATATTTTAGTGAATCACAAAAAATAGTGGAGTTCTTTATAGGATAATGTAAAGTGATGTTTTTGATAATACAAAATTTCTTGAAATAGTTTTAAAACTGGTAATAAAAGAAAACTGAACTCAGTTTGGAGCAGTGGACAAAAGCTGATTTAGAAAACATGATCATATTCTGCCTATGTGAAGCAGCATCTGAGAAGAAAGGGAAAGTCAAAACAATTGTGATTTAACAACAACAACAAAAAAGTATGCCTTAATTTGTTTTAAAAAAATACAAGATGGGTGTCATGAATACCAAAAAGGCTAGAGATTTTAAATAATAAAATCTGCTTATTAGTAGATGATGCTATTGTTATGTTGGAGTTGGAATTTGGGGATTATATTCTATGTAAGATCTGATTACTTTTTCTAGATATAGTGCAACAAATTAAATGGCCTTATCCTGAAGTATAGTTGGGTAAACCAAAATCTATACTTAATATCCTGAGATTTGGTTACCTGAGGATGCAGAAGGAACTAATTATCTAGCCATCTAAGTTATTTTTATGAAACTCCAAATGAATACCAATTTCTAATTTTCATTTAGAAGTGGTTTTAAGCCAGCATTTTAAGAAAATCCAATAAAACACTGTAGACTTATTAAACATCAATCTTTAATTGTAGCTTAATTTAATTATGATTTTCATTTTTGTTGTAAAAGACTAACACTTTGCCAATTATTTCCTGCGGAGCAAGTGGTCCTTCACTTTGTTAACAAAACATGGGCTCTTTGTCATGATGCTTACCAGCTCATAGCTTTCTCTAGCTTTCAATGTAAGCTTTTCATCTCCTGGATCTTCTTTCAAAGCCATAGCAGGTGGTTAGCTCTTATTTGCTTACTTCTCAGTGTTGAGAGAGATACCTGTTAAACAAACCTCCTTTCCTGATCTTTCTGTTTCTGTTTCTTTTTTCCATTCATATTTGTATAGAAAAGCTGTCTTGAAGTTTACCCAGACTTTCCCAGAGTCCTGAATAGATTCCCAAAGCAGTCCCTTTGCTGCTGCTCATCTCTCCCTGCTTCCAGGCACACCACCAGTCAGGAAAGTGCTTCTTGAGATAGTAAGACTCCAATTTCCAAATTTTTATAAGGAATGTCTAAAAGTGATCCTTAAATTCACTGATGAATTTCAAGACCACTTTGTAAGGCCTTATCTTTTTGCTTACTTAATAGTTTATTTAATATGTTTCCTTAGAAGTATTAAAAGTCAGCCATAATTTTATGCTCAAGCACCATTTCACCTGACTAGCAAATTGTAACCAAAATGATGGTAAAGAATGAGAAATTCTAAAAAGCTTCAGGTTTGTTTAGGTCCATCTTTTGCAAGGAAAAGTTTATACACACACACACACACACACACACACACACACACAAACACACACACACATATTTGTACATCCTTAACCTTTATAAAGCGACTGGTCTTTCTCTAACATAGGAATTTTAACCTGGAGTCCAGAACTCTGAAGCTACAAAATTGTGGATTTGTGTGCATGTACACATCTATTCTTTTTTTGAGAGAGAGACAATCTTTAGTTACTAGATTTATAAGGGGTTTGTTGACACCCATCTACACCTCAAAGAAATAAAAAAAGGGGGGATTAACTGTTGCCTTGAAAAGTTTTTGGTGCCACTGTAGAAAATAGTCTTGCACTGAAAGAGTTTAGTTATATAATATCAAGTGCCTCTTTCTTGACTACATTTTCTTAAAGATCCCATTAGAAAAAAATGTTTTGATTAGTAATGCTTTCCTTCTTATTCTACTGTTGCATTGTGTTTTTCCAGGGGATACTTTTGTATATTCTCCCCTTATTTTCACAAAGCTTTAATTAAATATTTGAGTACTGATTTTGTGTAGTGACCTGAGCTAGATCTTGAAGGATACAAAGTTGAATGAGATAAATGTACATCCTGCCACCAAGGATGAGTCCAGTGGCAATTGTATTTTCACATTATTTTTATCAGGTCAGCTCTTGATATGTTTTAATAAGAATAGTCATAACAGTCCAGATTCATTTCATTGTTCATCTCTCAGTAATCTTTTTAACAGTGGCAACAAAGAATATTGAATACTTTTATTTCAAATATTTGATAATTTGTAGGAGGTGAAAAAAACCTTAATAGGAAAAACATATATTTGTTATTTTTATTTAAGTGTGTGTATGCTCATGTATCTTTACTTAGTGTTCTGGGAAATAACTGAAGCCTTCTATATACATGTTGTGTTCCTTTAAAAAAAAAAACAACTTTAATGCATTTGTCTGTGCACATTTCTACTGACATGGCTCCTATTTGTATCTTATTCCAAGTACCTTCAAGATTGCCAGATCTTTCTTCTGCTGTGACACAGGCCCTTAGGAAGGTGGGAAGTACACCCACAGAGGCATTGCTGCAGAAAGTCAAGAGAAAGGAACAAATAGCTGTATTGAAATCTTACAAAAATGAAGATTATTATTTATGCAGACAAACTGGGGTACCATTTATCCTATGCTGATTTGTAATGTTTTAGATTTTTGGTTTATGATTTTTAAAAAGTATTTATTTTTTAGTTGGACACGATATCTTCATTTCCATTTATTCATTTTTATGTGTGCTGAAGATCGAACCCAGGGCCCCGCACATGCTAGACGAGTGCTCCTCCACTAAACCACAATCCCATCCCCTGGTTTATGATTCATTGTAAAGTGTCCCCAAATCTGTTTAAGTGATAGATATCATACAATTGGAAATACAATTCAATCTTCCTTTTTTTTTTGTGTGCCAGTGATTGAACCTAGGGTTGCTCAACCACTGAGCCACATCCCCACCCCCTTTCCATGTTTTAGTTTTGAGACAGGGTCTTGCTAAGTCTTTAGAACCTTGCTGTGCTGCCAAGGTTGGTCTCAAATTTGTAATCCTCCTGCCTCAGCCTCCTGAGGCACTGGGATTACAGGTGTATGTCACTGCACCCAGCCAGCCTTTTAAAGAAGTAATAATGCCAAACAATTACACACACACACTCTTTTATTTTCCAAAATTGGCAAAGTCAGATTATCTGGTGTCAGTCTTGTCTTTCTTCACTTTAGTGCTGTGCCCTTCTCTGAATGAGTAAGTGGCAGTAAGATATGAAAGTGTTCATCATGTAAATATTTAGTGAAAAATATTAAATATGCTGATAGTAAAGAAAAGAAGTTCTTGTGAGCTGATATAAGGAGAGGCTTCATGAAAAGAGTATGGTACTTTTTGACTTTCTTTCTTTTTTTTTTTTTTTTAAAGAGAGAGTGAGAGAGAGAGGGGGACAGAGGGAGAGAATTTTAACATTTATTTATTTTTTCTTAGTTCTCGGCGGACACAACATCTTTGTTGGTATGTGGTGCTGCTGAGGATCGAACCCGGGCCGCACGCATGCTAGGCGAGCGCGCTACCGCTTGAGCCACATCCCCAGCCCACTTTTTGACTTTCAAAGATGATTTAAATTTAAATTGAAAGCAGTAGAAGATCAGTACAATAAAGGGGGAGGACTGAACCACAGACTAGAAGCAGAAATTAGCATGGTGCAAAGGAGTTAGAAGGGAAGGACAGTAAGGAAATACACTCGCTGAGTTGTATAGGTCCTGTAGGTAAGTCAAGCGCTGAGAGCCTTGAATATTAAAAAAGGGAGTTCCACCTTGATATGGTAGAGGTAGAGAACTGTGGGGTTTTGGCAAAGATGTTGCTTCATTATAGCATTTGGGGGAGAGGTGCTGGGGAGTGAATCCAGGGATGCTTAACCACTGAGCCACATCCCCAGCGCTTTTTATATTTTATTTAGAGTTTCTTAGGGCTTCTCTAAGTTACTGAGGCTGGCTTTGAACTCGGATCCTCCTGCCTCAGCCTTTGGAGCCTCCAGGATTACAGGTGTACACCACTTTGCCTAACTCGTTATAGTGTTTTTAAGAAAAGTAATTTGGATAATGTGTTTGACTACAGTGAGGACAAATTAGAAAGCAGTGCCATTGCTGGGCAGAGTGAATGAGTTGGTTGGCCTGGGCTACAATGTAATAGTTGGGGTGAAAAAGAAATTATGACCTAGAAATTGGAAAGCATGAGATCTGAGAAAGGGACTTTAGGTTTGACTATCAGATTTCTCGCGACCCAACTTTCATATAAAGGTAGGAGAGGGAGCCAGATTCCTGGAACTAGTCAAGGAAATGTGAAGGATATGAATATCTACTTATTTAAGAAATTTGGTAAGAAGGTGAAAAGGAAAACATAGTGTTAACTAGATGGGTGGTAGAGCTTAGGAGACACTGCTTTTTAAGGAAAAGACCGATAAGGACATATGACAGTTGAGAAGAGGAGACTGACAGTAGTGAAGGCAAGAGAGGCCAATTCAGCAGGATAAACGTACCTTTGCAGATGGTAGAAGGAAATAACCCTTGAAATGAAGTTGTGATTTATCTTTAGAGAAATGAGATGTACCTTTCCCCATCATGTGTCAGGGCAGTTAAAAGACTAGGGAAAAAGAAAGCAATATTAGAGAAAATGAGAACAAATTATAACAGTAATTATTAGAATGCATTATTTGAGAATGAAGGTGAAAGAGTTGAGTTGGGAGGGATATTTTAGCTTTGAAATATAGAATTTCTGTGTAAAGATATGGGTCCACTTAGAAGTGTTTATAAAAAAGAGTCCACATTTGTATAGTTTTGTGTGTTCCTCTGGTTTGGCACAAAGCATCAGGAGTAGAAAAGCAAATATTGAGTTTGGTTAGAAGATGAAGAGGACATGGATATAAAGATGTTTAGGAAGACAATATTAAAATACCTAATCTCATGGTCAGGAAGAGTCCACTGAGATAGTTTTCTGTGAACCAATGGTCTGAGTCATGTGGAAGGGAGTTTAATGATTTTAGATTTAATGAGAATAAAGAATAAGTTAGTGTTGTTAAAAGAATGGCAAAGGCTGAGGGTAGAGTTCAGTGATAGAACAATTGCCAAGCATGTGCAAGACCCGGAGTTCAGTTCCCAACACTGCAGTAAATACATAAATACATCCATTAAAAGAACGGCAAGTAAGGAGACTGGTCAGTGTGTTGACCTCATAGTGCTAAACGATGGGTGAGAAGCAGCGGAAGAATGGTGGTCCAATGTGTAACTAGTGTTGGGGGTTAGTAAGAAGTCTAGCTTTTGTAACCCTTTATGCTCTCTACCCTGTCCCCACCCTTGTCTTCTTGTGAGAGTAGGAAGTCAGTCTGTATGAAAGAAAATTGTAGGAAGCGTGGTATTACCTGGGGAATCCTGAATAAGGTTTCCAGTTGAAATGACTCAAAGCAAACTTCTTTTCTCAAAGCACAATAGGAAGACATGGAAGCAGAGTGCTGGGGAGGGGCTGGGAAAAGCCAGTCATGAGAATAGATAGGCACAAGTAAGTCCAGTGAGTGCAAGGAATTGGCAGAAATGTTATTTACAAAGTGAAAGATTAAGATAAAGTGGTAGGTCTGGGATATGAAGAGTCTGGAGGTTGAGGAGCTCATGTTACAGGTGAGCTGGCTTCTGCCAGTCTCATAAGCAAAATAGAAAACTCCCTTCCCCACCTGCATAGGCTTTCCTACTTACAAAGGGAAAGGATCTCTTCTTACGTAGTTGGAAGAGG